GTTAGCACTGGGTAGTAACTGGCAAACACTGCAACTTTGCAGAGTGTAATCAAAGTAGCTGCAATCAGCCACACTTATGGAATTGATCTAGATAAACAGATATGAAATTAGGTATGAAAAGAATCTGATAGGGTTCTTAGAAATACCCTATGCAGAACCTTCCAGCAACATCCAACTTTACTAGGATGATAGTGAATCAGTCTAATTTGAAATAAACTCCCCCACAATATTTAAAAATTCTTGCATTTGAAAGCACTCTGTGTTACGTGGGATAATAAAAGCTTGAATAGTCAAAGAAAGGGCAACTGTTCTTATCAGTGCAATATTAATTATTGTAGTTTTTAGTTAAAGTTTTTTATAACTCTTCAAAGATTTAAGTAGCATATTGATTCTTCAGAGGGGTTTCATGAGACTACAAAGTATAACTTGATATTCTACTTTTGTTTTAAAAGACAATGCATCAAAATATTTAATCTTTAGCTTCAATTACAAAAATATTACTGTTTCCCCCCTGTAGGTTTAGGGTTAATAGCATTTTAAAAGTAGAAAATGTGAAGAGTTACTAGGTGACCTGCCTCAGAAAAGATCTGTCTGAAGATTTTCTGTTTGAACTAAAAGAAAAAAAGACTGAAATAAATGTATGAATACGAGAAGATGGCATTAAAGCTGTCCTAAAGCACAGAAAAAGTGATACCCAGGCACAAACTACTTTATTCTAGAACACGATTAGAAGATGTGACGTTATTCTGTCATTCCACGTTTTAGTGAAAGGATCTGAGCAGTGGCTGCCTTTCTGCTAAGTCTTCCTCAAACAAAAATATTTTCAGTGACACAAGGCACTTTATCTCCTTGAAGCTAAATGCTACTGCCAGCATGCTTGCTCCAGACACCAAGAAATCAGGATTTATGAAATCCAGACTCTTTTGGATGCAAAGTAATCTCAACTTAGTGTGGTAAGTCTACAAGGAAACTTAATCAAAATGCTAAATACTGTAACGGGATTTTTAGATAATTATATTCTACCATGTAAAAAAACCTGCAACCAGTTGAAGGTAGTTTGATGGTTCTATAAATATCTTCAGTCATTTGTACTGTATTGTTTTCCTACTGAGAACAAAAACTAAAAGATTTTATCATATTCTAAACTTACCCACCACCGCTGCCTCCATTTTTGCTGAAATGTGTACGAGGCTCACTTGATGCCAGTTTAAGCAGTTCATTCCACTCCCGTTCCCATTCTTCTTCTGTATACACTAAACCTGACTATGGGAGAGAATGAAATACCTTTATGATTGTGCTGGTACAAAACATAAGAAGAGTTGTGTAGCAGTATTTCTGACTAAATTAATTTGAGCTTCATACATGAGATGGTTTAATATCTTGGACCTTAATGGTTCGACATTTCTATTCAGGTGAAAGAATATTAAATTATTAAAAAAAGATCTAAACCACTAACTGCCCACTGGATTATATTTCTAAATGTGGGTCTGCTGCTGCTAACACAGTGCTCCACTATTGGAGATGCAGTTATTCATACCCATATGAATTCCTTGCAACCACGGTTAGCATGCCAATTTCTGGAGGTTTGCTTTTTTTCCCCAATATATGGCACTACTATGAATGCCCTTCTTGGCAGACAGGTGATGCTTTCTCCCTCTGTTCAAGAGCAGAAAGGGTATATAAGTGCTTCTGTGCCCTTGGTTTTCAGGTAGCCTGAAGTAGTAGCTGAGTCAGTCACAGCTCAGCTGTATTCTCACTGACTGCTGCCAACAAAAAGCAAATTACAACTAAGTCACAAACATTTAAGCATATTCACTTGACTGCATTCAGCATTACTCCTGAAATTAGCTTTTCTAGCCACTGTTTAGGCACAGACACCTTCAGAAAATAATAGATGCTGAAATACAGCTTTTAATCCACAGTCAAACCAAATCTACAGATTATTTTAGTTAAGAAACATCCATACAGTATTTGGTCACAGCTCTCAGAATCCTAATGAACCTTTCTGGGGAATCTTTCCTAAATGTTTTTTCTTTCTTCTGTGGATTTCATCTACTCATTTTATAATGCTTGTGATAGCTAAATTATACATTTAATTTTGCAGCCCAAAATTTTCTACAGATTCCAAACTCATCTTAGACCTTCGTAGGCACAAACCCGTGCATATTTATGCCCACAAAGCTACAAACACATTTGCATTCTGACACAAAAATTCTATATACAAGTATCTCTTTCCCCATGCAAAATGGAAGCACAAGGAATTTGACAGCGATTAAAACTGTCACACCAAAATTCAGATGAATGCTTTCAACTGTAAATGACATTAACAAGACTGTCTTCAGGTCATACAGACCTCCTTATTCTGCTGGGTCTGTTGCCATCTCCATCTTCTTTTCAGTGCTTCCCTTTCAGCTCCATTTCTCATCATAGTATAGAGTGCTTTACGTAAAACAAGGTCCCGGTCATGAAATCCCCACATCCCTAAAGTAGCACAAGATGACATTCAGTTGTAAAGAAAATATAGTGAAATAGAAATAGCAAGTATTAATATAATTAATATTGCTCTATTAGCATAACTTATACATTATTTAAGATTCTCGTTGGCAAATAATTCACTCATTATTTTTAAGGTTTCCTAAAGAAACAGTCAATATTCCATATTCAAGCTAACGAACAACAAGAGGAAATTCTAACAAAGTTTAAACTTTGATTAAGGAATGACTAAGGATTTGAGTAGTTTCAGTGTTCACTTGCAGGCAACTTCAACTTTGCCGCAAGCAATGGAATATTCAATGCACAGGCTGGTTTTCGCTGTAGTTGCCAACAGAGCTTGCAGACACAAGAATGCTAATGACAACTGCAGGCACTTTCGTGAATCACAGATGCTGCTGATACCCAAAGGCCTCCAACTCTTACACCGCCTGATGGTAAATTTCCTTTGGCTTCAACATCTAAATAAAGAGACGAGCATTTGAGATGATTGGAAATCTAAAAATACAACCAGCCACAGGCTTTCAAGCTCATTTTAAGATAAAAAAACATCTTAACGTAGTTGAGAATAGTAACCTACAACAAAAGAGAGCAGAACTCTCCCCAAGACATGTGCCCATAGACAACCACGTTTCAACTGTCAGTTGCGGGCATTAAACATGTTTATTTAGGACTTTGGAAGTCAAAATATTCCAAACATTTGCTGTAAATAATATACAATTCCTCCTAACTAAAAATTAAGTGGACAAAGAAGGATCCTTCGCAGCTCTTTTCTTACTACTTCTTTCAAAAAGAGGAGTCTCTTCAAAATATTAAAAATCCCAATGTTTTTTTAAAAAAGTCACCCTTTGGAGTTCCACTGGTGGAAGATTTTAGCAACTGCAACCAAAAAAAAAAGTCTCCTCACAACAGACTAGGATATAGAAGGCATACCAAAGACTTTCAGTTTCACAGGTTTCTGTTTATTGGATGTGAAAAAAGGCTTCAAAGATTTTGTACTAAGGATTAATTAATCTATTGGAAGTTATTTTCATTCACCCTGTAAACTCTACAAGGAACCAACAGAGATAATAGCTAGATATTGCATTCTTGAAGACAGTAAGAGAACTATTTAACAAAAGCCAGAGAAGGAATGTAATTCCTCACCCACAATGAGGACAATCCTGCAGAAGCAGCTGGAATTTGCCTGTTTCAGAGCTGTTACGCTGGGCTCTTTAAGGAAAATGTAAATCACTGGTGTTTATGATATAAGGGTTTTGATACTGCTCCAATTAAACTTCTTTTATAAGCTGATAAAACTTTTATCTTCCTCCCTCAAGTATGCCTAAAGCAAACAATACTTAAGCGAATTTTGAGAATATATTGCTCCAGAACCAGGCTTTTAATGGAAGTCTTCGCATTCCATGTGTTTCTGAGCTTTTGCTGTGGATACAGAAAAGTGGTAAATATTTTTGTCAGGAGGTTTCACGTACAGATTTTCACTCACCTAAAGACGCAGCATGCAAGAGGCAGTTTCCGTCACCCGTTGTAGCCAAGGGAAGAAGACGTTTGCAGCTTGTACACACTGTGGACCACCAATTTAGTCGTCCTGAAAAGAAAGCATCTATTAAAATGGTGGAGTGGATACTAAACCAGCATGTGTACTGTGTACAGGCTTACGCGATGATGTGTGATGTTGAAGGTTAATCGTGAACATCCTTTCTTCCAAATAAACTTAAATGTAATGTAGAAGTGAAAACTGAAAAGATTAGAAAGAAAAGACAGATAAACTTTGACTATTCTCTAAATGTATTTGGAATAAGAAGAGAGCATCTTTAATTTGCATTTTCCATTCTCATATGCTGCATTCAGGGATGGATTTCCAAGGAGTTCATTGCCTAAATACCATTATGAGTCTTGGTGTCAGATCCCAAACATGATTGACATTGGCCTCCCATACACAGATGACAGATTATGTTACAGTAATGAAGTCTCAAAAGACAAAAATTATATGTATGTGTTAATCAAGATATGTTACTGTGAGGTAAGTTTATTAAGTAAAGTACTATTGTTTCAATCAGATGGATTGTTTCAACAGCTGATTCTCCTCTCATTTACCACTGTGTAAATCATGATTAGACCTACTAAAATCAACAGCTACACTCCCAGAGAATTAAAGTGAAACCAAATGCATAGTCCAAGGTCTAGGATAGCATGTGGCTTTTCTCTTTGAAAATATTTGAGAACCACTTATCCATCATTGCTACAGGAAGCATGTTTTGCAGTTCATAAAACAGAGATGGATTATGAAAAAAAAAAATGACAAGAGGACAGATATTTGATGTATCTAGATGAAGCAAATAAAGCCATGAAGAGTATCAGCGCCAAAGCCAATACTGGAAAGTCCGTAATTCCTGGCACACAGGTTGCCTGTGTGGTAGTTTACTGGAGTGTTAAGTCTTGGTTAAATGGTCATGTGAACATTTCTACTATAAAAAAAAAAAAAAAGAATGTGAGTAATTGTTTAACATGTTTGGGGATAAGGAAGAGCAGATGATTAACAATGATGAGCAGAGCTGGTATATTTCCCAAGACTTTTGGAAAGGCTGTGGGTAATGCACATTGAGTAATTGAATGAATAATGCAATAGGCAGCTCGTGGTGGCTCCATTTCTTTCTTTGTCCTCTTCTGAAGACTTTTTCTCCTCTGATTCATTTATTTGCAAGCTAAGAGGAAATAGTATTGATATATTTGTACAGTCAGTCTTGCATTTAAGGTTAAATCCCCAAAACAGAAGTAAGTTCAAGCAATAAAAAAAACCAAACCTTTCTCCATTAAAATGTTTTCATTACAAAATGATACTGGAGTTTATTTGTAACAGCAGGCCATACATATTGTGCAAAAAAATAGTATAACAATATTTTAATGTGTGCCCCCAATTACTTGTTCCAGGCAGTAAGACCCATGTAATTAAATTTCACTTAGTCAGTATGGGTTGAGAGTTACTATACTGTAAAGATGCAGAGCAGATCAATAATTAAGCATATTCAGTAATCCTCGTACAATTTTAGCAGCTAGTTTGCAAATGCCCAACATCTCAGACTAGGCTTATTGAGTTCTAAATTAAATATGCGTTAAAGAAGCTTAATTTAAAGCACTATTGGACAGCTTTTGGGAAAGATAAATCTGAAATAACAAGTTATTTTTAGCAACTCCTGCGTCTGTGGGCTGTGAAGTAACAACTTGCCACCTGTTTTTTGCAGCATGTTTTGGTGGTATCATATTCAGTAATAAGTTATACCAAGGTGCTTCTTCAAGCACAGTTACAAGACTTAAAACAGAACTCAGAACTTAAGGGAATAATGAGTAGTATTGCTTTGCAGATTGACTAGCAGCTATTGGTAATAAATGTCAAAGTCTGGTGTTTATGAATCTTTTGAATAACAGGAGGTTTCTATAAGAGTGATCTGCTTTCAAGTAGATTATGCAAAAAATGTGGGCTTGGTTAACATCACAAAGCTTATGGCTGACTAAAAAATTAGCAGAAATGCATTGGATTGTAACAAAAAAGCGTTGCATTTTCATTTTTCAGATCTGCTGGTTACAGCAGAACCCTTTAGGGAAACGACAGGAAAGTGGAGCTTAAATGAAAACTGGAAACAGTTCTGCCTCAGGCTTATTTCTGTCTGCTTTGATAAGACAGTATTTATGGACAAACTAGACCCATTTCTCACTTGCCCTCCCCCTCTGTTGGTCTCCTACTTGATCTTGCTTCCAACTTTCTGATAAAATCTATTTGATCTTAAAAAACACAATTTGAAGAAATTGATCTGTTTTACAGAAAAATACTCTGAGAATTAATACAGCCATATTCTAGTACATTAAAACTTGATCTTAATTTTAGATGAAGACTGAAAGTCCCATCCAGGTCTATGATCTAGTAATGTACAATCAGAGAGGCAGACACAAACACACAGTATTGCCCCTTCTTTGCATGATACTTAAGACTTCAGGTGCAAACTCAAATTAAATGTTAATAGAACCCAGTGTCCCCGACGACGATTGCCAGCTGCTTCTGTATTCTGGTATTATCCCAGTCCTGCACTACATAGTGTGGATCAGACTTCACATAATACAAAGCATATATTGGCTCGCCTGCTCCCTTATTTGTAGGGCCCAACAAGAATCAATCATTCTGATACAGAACCAGAAATGTATCTTGTATTGTATGCAAAGGAGGTAAGCTGAATCTCAGAGAAAATTTTGCAAACTTCAGAAAACAAACAATATCGCTACTTTAAAAATCTACTATCTGATGACTCCCAGGACAAGATGCAAACATCAAAAGCTACCCTGCTGTAAACCCCCTACAAGTGCAGGCATGAATATAAGTTGGCCTTATGCAACTGTTAGCTTGAAAAAGTCAGTTTTCGAGGAAAAGGAAATGAGAAATATTTTAAAACATGGGTTTTACCCAACCATATTCATAATGTTGGAGTATTATTAATAGGTACTAGAAAGGCTTAAGTGTTATTTTCATAAGGTTCCATATTGTAACACAAGCCACAGGTGTATTGTTTCTTGTGCTGGATTTATGAGAGGCAATTGCCAAAGAGGATCCTAGATGGTTATATGACCTGAATGGCTCAAAAAGAAAGCAGCAGAGAACAGAGAATGCATTTCAAGTACTAACAGGGGCCAGACTTGGCTTTCAGTATCAGGCCCTGGTGCCTTATGCAGTGGTGCTATAGAAGGCAAGAAAGCATTCAGCATGACATCCTCTATGCAAAACTCCATTAACAGTACAAACAAGAAGATAAAAATACAAAACAGAAATTATTCTAGTTCATGACTATCTCATAAAGATGCTCATATGGAGCTGCCCTCCAGTTTACTAAGGTCCATTGTAAAACACTCATCGCCCAAACACGCACAAGGGTGGTGGTACACATACAAACCAACCAAGTTCAAAACACAAGGTAACATAATACTAGAGAACCTTTGTAGAAACTCTGCATAAATCCTTTGCTCCCTCTTCATTTTCTCCAGCCTATGTTTTCTTTTTTGTTGGTTTAAGCTACTAATAAACTAAATGGCTTTACAGACTTGGGATTTTTCTGGCAGTATTAAGTTACAAGGACTTAGTGAACAGCAGCTTAATGTAACTCTCTCTTGACAAGGGAAAAGGAGATGCTACCAAGGATGAGCCCCCTCCCAAGCTCTATGAGACTGAGCGTAGTTGAAGTTTCAGTGCAAGGCTGGACTGTGTATCTCTGTCTCCAAGGCAAACCATTGGTTTCTTGCCTGCAATGCCACTGTGCATTTGTCATATCAAAAATAAGTCAGAACTCCTATAGAAAAAAAATGGAATACACATTAAGGATGGTTAAAAATGGGAAAAAGTGTGAAGTGTTGTGTCACAACTTGTACAATTTTACCTCAGATTGAATGCAATTGTCTTTTAACAATTGTGCTATTAACAGTGCTCTTTCATATAGCTCAGTAAACCAGCCTTAGGCCAACTCCTCAAAGACACTGACAGAGCAGACATCTTGCTGAGGAAAACAAGCTGATCTGTGTACAGGGGGCCTCAGTGTCTGCTTTCCTGTGCTGCTTGTACGTGTGGCTAAAGGTGAGACTTCTGATGGCTTTTCTTTTATTTGTGGTTGGGCATTCTGGAAGTCCTTCCCATGTGGATTCTGTAGCATTTAATAAACAATATTCATGTTGCAAGTTTTTCTTCTATAGAAATACTAAAAATAAGCTGGCTGCTTATTTTCATGAAACTTGTAAAAGCTTATTCACAAATTGGCAGAGTTAAATTTAAAAAATAAACGGGTACTATCTTAAGAGACAGCTTGCTGACACAAACTCAGTTTCCTTAAGAAACCAGGCTAAACCCAGCCTTTCTTTCATTTCTCCAGCACATCGTATTTCCAGAAATCAACCTCTCATCCATCCCCAAGATGAGCAATTCACAAAATAACATTTTCAACTTCCAAAGCAAGTCTAATTCTGGACACCCCATTCTCAAAAGCAATGGTTCACCCTAAAAACTCACCAACTCCCCTCTGGAACCCAACTGCAATAACTGCTCTGGGGGACTGGCTAAGTCAACGGAGGATTACTCAGCCCACTCAGTCAGGCACCCTAGATATACTGTGTGAAAATCTGTCAAAAATTCTGGGATAAGAAAATGTTTCAACCTGAAAAGGCATCAATTTTTCTTTAACAAAGCTTGATTTTTAACAGTTTGAAATCAAACACTTCGAGAATTTTGGTGGATTTGTTTTCGGGGATGCGAAACACAGACTTAACAATGTATTATTGTTTATTTTGCCTGTAGCTGTATAAAAAGCTTCCTAGAAAACACAAAACTGAGTACAGAAAGAGAAGTGTAGGAGAATATTCTTGATGGTTCATACAGTTTGCTTTTGATTTTTGTATTGAACTATATCTCAGCACTGCAATATAAACTTTTTTCTTTTCATTAAAAACACTGTGTTGGACCAGCCATTCTTCTGCCTATACTATGGGGTTTTGAACTCAGGAGTACAGCAGAAGTTTTCATAATCTCTCTCTTTGTGTCAGTCTACACATAGACAACGCATGGGGCAACCCATGTATATAATGAAAATCAACTTGCTGCAGCAAAATATTTAGAATTATAAAATTCCTTTCACACAGACTTCGCTTAATATTATCACTATCTGAGCCATCCTTCACCAAAGAATCACACTGATTACTGCAAGTGCACTCAGAGATCACTCTGCACATTACTTACAAGCTGACCTCATTCCAGTTCAGGGAATAATGAACAGCTGTTTGTAAGATGCACAAAACCCCAAAATGCTTTTATGGATGTGGTGAATTCTATCCTCTAAGAGAAATATTCTGAAAGCAATCACACAAAGAGCAGAGGATACACTGCAGCAGCAGAGAGTGAGTAAATCATACTGCCTATTATATCTGGGCCTTTCCTTTATAGTCTCACACAGCACTTCTAAGTAAATCGGGAATTTTGCTGAGTTTCTATACAGGTAGGCTGTAACCTCAACATCCTTTCACATACAGATACAATGGTAGCAAGTGCCTAAGCACATAAAAAGAGAATATAAAAACCTTACTGTTTTTTCTAGACATCCAGCTCATACAGCCACTTCAGACAACATGTGCGACAGTCTGTTAATGGTAACATTGCTCTCCCAATCTGTGCTTTGTGAGTAGTAAGCTACTCTCTGTTCCTAACAAAGTTCCTCCTCCTTTTGCCTAATCAGCTTTTTTTCCTCCCTTTCTCTTGAAACACATGCCCTTAAACCCAAGCAGACACCTCCCTCTTTTCCTTTAACAATGTCCCCAACCTCAGCTACAGAAGCTACTGTCCTTTGGGGGGTTTGTTTTGGTTTGAAATTGATTTTAGGCCCTTTGCAGGGAATGCACCTTATCTGTTAATTTTTTTATGTCATTGACAAAACCACAGTCAAACTGGGCCCTCTGTTGGTAGGAGACAATAAGATGTCTAATGTTAAGTGACTTTCTTATTAATTCACTCCCTTCATTTCAGACAACAACATGTCTAAACCAGGCAGGAAATAGAAGGAAACTGAATAATGTTATGTCTTAAATATTGAGACAAAAGGTCAGTTTACATGAAGTCTTACATGACTTTCTTAAACATACGCTGTTTGACCTGTTTAACTTACTTGAACTGAAGAACTGTTTCCCAGGAACTTCCAGTTTGAACAAAAATGTGAACAAAATTGTCACATAAGTAAACTAATTCTATGTAGGCTACATGAATACCTGTGATCAAAACCACAAGCACTTCAAATGGTCAAAACACCCTCCTTTCCAGGATGCAAGAGGCTCTGCGGAAGAAGGGACTTTTCCAGTGTGAGTCAAGTTATTGCCCTAATTAAAGTAATGTGAAAAAAAAGCATACATGATTTATTCTGATTTTCAGACAGATCTGAGAGAGGAATACTGAGGCAGAAAACTCGGTAGTTTCTGCAGCCCTGTATCAAGTTCAAAGCCAGCCAGCTGTATGAACATGCTCTACATTCACATGTTCCCTGATTTTAAGGTCAGAAAACCACTATGATCCTCCAGTTTGTACTCTTGCATTAACTGACTCTAAAGGCTGCAATTCCACCAAAGCAGGCAGGTCAACAATGACACTGTAGCAAGGTCTTTTCTGACAGCCCTATGGAATTTGGAGTGTTTGGCAGAGCAGCCAGAAGAAGAGCCATCCTGTTTTTCCCCTGTCCTTCCTGTGTTAGCTGGTTCCGTTGGGGGTTTTTTTTGGGGGGTGGGGTAGGGTGGGTGGGGGTGGTCTTTGGTTTTTTCATAAGTATTTACTGTTTGATGCTATTATCTGAGTATGTCTTGCTTTTCAAAAACAAAAGCCAAAAACCAAGCATACAACAACCCATGGTAAGTACTCAATGTGACACCAGATTGGCAGAGGTCTTGACGAAATACTACAATGTGGTGCCCTGATCAATAACAAGCAATAGCTTATCAGTTTGAACACAACACACTATGACTATGCACTGAGTTTTGAGAATGAACTCTGAGGTGAATACATGGTGTTACACAAGCCAGTATAGCAATCAACAGAAAAAAGCAACTGGCTATTCGATATTCCACAGGCAGCCATGAAAGCTGATTTTATAACTCCTTTATATTGTCAGAGTTGGGCATTTCACTACATAGATGTGTTCATTTCATGGTTCATTAATACAGTTGCTATTTCATAAGGCACAGATACTAATTTTAAATACATTTCTCCATATCTTTCAAAACTGACTTAAAACCTTAAACTACTAACAAATCTGAATTACAATTAATTTTAGATTTCTTCACTTTTTTCCCCAGGCAATAATTAAGTATTACTTTAAAATTATTTAGTTTCCTATTACAAAAATAACGATCAATACATAAAATAAATATTTAAAAACTATTTTCTCAAGCTGCAACAGAAGTTGAAGATGTTTCCTTTTTTAGTCATTGCAATGTAATTTCCTCATGAGAACTGGAAGTACCAACCCCCTCTGACCATCCAGACTCACATCCTTCTCTGCTGCATGACTCCCCCATCAGTCCTCCGTTACTTCCTCCCTCAATATCTTTGTTTCATAAGTAAATTCAACAGTTTTCTCTATTAAATGTTTTAAAATAAATAGAGGATCATTTGTGTCTTTGCAAATGTGTCATTTTGCAAAGACCACAGTATTTGCTTTTGTCCTGGTTTCGGCTGGGATAGAGTTAATTTTATTCATAGTAGCTAGCATAGTGCTGTGTTTTGGATTTAGTACCAGAAGAGTGTTGATAACACACTGATGTTTTCAGCTGTTACCAAGTAGTGCTCAGACTACTCAAGTACTTTTTGAGCTTCTCCTGCTCAGCCAGTACAAGCTGGGAGCACAGCACAGCTAGGACAGCTAACCCAAACTGACCAAAGGGCTATTCCATACCATATAACATCATGCTTGGGGGAGTTGGTCGGTCGGTTGCGGGGAGAGTGATTGCGGCTCGGGGACTGATCACAGCTCGGGACGGGCTGGGCATCAGTTGGCGGGTGGTGAGCAATTGCATTGCGCATAATTCGTTTTGTATATTTTGTTATCATTCTCATTATTACTATTATTATTTTCTCTTATTAAACTGTCTTTATCTCAGCCCTGGCTCTAACCTTTTATTTTCTTCCCGATTCTCTCCCCCATCCCACTGAGGGAGGGGGGGAGTGAGCGAGCAGCTGCGTGGTGCTTAGTTGCCAGCCGGGTTAAACCACGACAGCTTTTACTCTCTGGCATTTATTTCCCATGCAGGATGCACAAGCTCCAGAAATGAAGCATGATTAGAAATGTCAACCAAAATGTCAGATTGCCCAGCTGCTGACATCTGAAGTATTTACTCACCTGCTTGCTCCAAAGCAACCATTGTTGCCTGCTCAATTAAGTCACGTTCAATGAAGCTTCTGAAATCTTCACTGTACACACTAAGGTCTGGTAGCTGGAATGTGTAGATGGGCATCTCCAGAGGAAACTGTTCATTACTGCACTCATTTGCTACATGTGATCGAGCAAGGGAGACTATGGCTGAGCTGGCATGAGAAATACCTCTGGAAAGACGCTTTTCTGTAGAGAAACCAAAGAGATATTATTGCCTGTAGGACTACATAAAGACCTGTCAACACCAAGTCTGGTGAATGCCCATTCATTTCACTCAGGAATTTATTCCACTTCTCATTTGTTACCTTTTTTGGGTTATTTCCCTACTGTAAAAGATAGCTTAATTCTTATTAGGGATCCCTATGGTGAGTCATAGGAACTTTACTCTCTTTCTAGCAAAACAGATGAACAGTATAGATAACGAGATATGAAGGACAAGTATTTCTATTAAACATTTTTTTTAATGTATCTTTAGTTTCCAAAGATGCATCAGAAAAAACATTTACTGGCAGACAGGTGATAATCAATGTTTTGAACTCTTAATTTAAGTTGACTTCTTGTGAATCAAAAAAATCCAGCATTTTGCAATCACTTCATATCAAGTCTGCCATACTGTTTTAATCTCAGAACAATCTGGCTGAAAATAATTTTAATGTAATTATGCTGAATTTAAGACAAACTCAGTTTTTATGCACATGTGTGTTCTAAAGTCCTGATCCAAGAAACAATACATAATTCAAAAAGAATGACGAAATTACCAAGCCTGGTACAAAAGAATGCATTATTTTATCAGAAAAACCTATGAGCTAATATATTATAATTTACTGAATTTCACTGTGGACAAATGCTACATAAGAAACTGTAAAAGGTCATTAAAGCAAAATAAGCATTAAAACATTAAGAAAGGGACAAAATATTACTATGATGTCATTTCACTTTACTATATGGCCTCAGTTCTGGTATCAGCAGATGGGTAACAGAAATATTCTTCAAGTACTTAAACCATAAATCATTCAGTCAAAACTGGTATTTTCCTTCTGTTTAGTTTCTGCCCTGTATGCCTGTTTATATTTTTAAAAACCAAAATGAATGTTTTGTAGCTGCTTAAAATTTATGTTCATCAAATGTTACTATTCTTCTCTCTCAGCAGTTTAACATTCAGCATAAAGTTTCCTTCTGCATCTGAGAAGCGGCACTCCTTAGCATCAAGGTACCACTGCCTTTCTGTGCTTCAGACAGGTTGACCTCAGGTCTTACATGGAGTTGCACTCTCTCTAGCCATCCTTCAGAAAGTGGATTATCTTAAATTAGTATTAGAAAGAATCCTGGGCATTTTACTGAGATTTACTAGTGAGCTGACACCATGTTTATGGACTTTCTTACATTTTTGAGTATGCAGAAAGCTTCCTGGTGGGATTTACTTAGTTTTAAGTTAGATAATATTTCCATTGATTTCCCTTGGAAATGGGTATCTTATCGTACTGGAAGCTTTTGTAAAAAACTTTTGGTGCAACTTCACCTCTGTAGCTTCATAAATACTACCATAAACTAGCCTTTAGCGATCAACTCTCAAACACGTACAACACTATATTAAAATAAGTTTATGTGCTTCTGTGCCTTCAGAAATTAATAAAGAAGCTTAAATGCAGCTCATCACTTAAGCTAATACTGTTTTTAAAACAACTCAAACTGATTAATGGTTATTAAAAAATAAATTTTCCTGGAGTTTGAGAACTTTTGTTTCTCTTATGGATCAAAGTTTTTCTAATTTTATTACATTTGCATTTCTTTCTTCTCCCTGTACTTCTCAGCCAAATCACTTTTAAACAGGGGAACTGAAGTATAGGATAGCATCTCTGGTTGCCATCCCCTTGCTTACCACCTCGTCACCCCTTCCCACCATGGACCAGACCTCACCTGTTGGCTGCATTCTCCACTCCAAGTACTTGGTCCATAACAAGACCCTCCTTTCCCTTCTCTGCTCCTCCTGAACACCCTCCTCACTCCAGTTTCACATTTCAGCCAGAGATGGCTCTCTGATCATGAAGTCATCAGTTATGCATCGAAATGGTAGCAAAGTTACTGTCAGTCCAGGCATTTAAAGCCAAACTTACCCCATACTAAAATATCAAATGGCCACTTCAGTGTAAACTGTGCAGTTTAATAACATGGAACTTTAGAGTGAGATATATCCTAATGAGGACAAAGGGACACAGTTTCATCAACTACAGCGTGCTACTCTTCCTCCCTTTGTTTGTATTCAGTGTTTTTAAGAAGTCGTAACAAGCACTGCAGTTTCTTTTTTACTGATGGAAGTTATAAATTTTAAAAATGCTTTATTGACACTCCTAAGTACTGATGCCATTTCCTGTTTAATAGGAGGGAAGAGCCAGCAGGAGAAGGAAAGACTTTCTGTTCCTTCTAGTGATTGCATAGAAAGCCATCACCAGACTAATGCTATTACCTCCCTACATGACAAGCTATCAGACTCCTAGATTTATTTCAGTGCAAACTACAGTTCCTTGATAAATTAATATATATAAAAAAATACATTCCAACAGTATGAGAGAGATAGTGATCTGATACAAAACCTATAAAAGATCTGAAAACAAACAAAAAAATTCTAATGCTTATCATCCTGTACTGGAAATCAACTGCTAGAGGTAGTTGACTCATTTTTCTTAAGGTTTCAATTTCTATTTGGCAGGGGATAGGAGGTTGTCCTTCCTTCTGTGGAACCATAAAACCCCAAAATTTGAAAGCTGAAATTTATTCATAGACTTCATACACCCTAATCACATACTGTGTGTAAGAATGCAAAGTTTGAAATACGGGGGTTTTTTTAACCTTTTTTTGGTCTCAATAAGCATAGAAAACTACATACGATAGTGGCCTGTGACACCCTCTAATTAATTCCTGTTATATGTACCACAAGACTGCTTGGGGACAACGTATTTTTGTACTTTAATCACACATTAGAAAAACATAACTTGCATAACTGAGACAAAGCTCATGACAACTGAAACATGTGAAACGTAGGGTCCAGCAAGAGCTCTGTGAATCCCATCACAAGGACACAGCTCACAGGCTGATGGCAAACGACTTCCAACTCCCTACTGACAAGCACAACTTGCAAGCAGACAAGCTAGAAAGCTGCTTGTCCACAAAAGCCCTGCAGAAGAGCTCTTACCTTGAGCAATGTCATCCTGCCTTTGCAGGCATGGTCGCTCAGCCTTCGTCACCTGGGGAGGCTGCTCTGGCTCCTGCTGCTTGTAGTATTTGCCCTCATTGAACACCTGTGGCAGGTTGGCAGTGTGTACCTGCCGGAGCTGCTCATAGTCACTCAAAGCTGCTGTCAAGTCCCAGTTTTTGCCTGCCAAACAGCAAAAGGACATTCTGCTCACATCTGTATGTGACAAGACTGATAACCTGGAAACCATCTTCACATGCACTTAAAATATAAACTTAAACAGATAAATCACTCTTTCTTAAAGCATCAGCAAGGGAACAGAGGTTTTGGATAAAATATTTCACAACCACTCCTCCCTCAACAAAAATGCAGCTGATAAACACCTGAAAGTACACAGCAAATGGACAAAGATAGAAATATTTTTTTAATTATTATTCCTATTTTACTTTTCTTGGTATCATAATTGGAGAAGACCTCAGGAAGCTCTTGTCCAACCTCCTGCTCAAAGCAGGGTCAGCTATAAGATCAGGCTAGATTGCCCAGAGCTTTACTCAGCTCGGTCTTTAAAATGCCAAGGATGGAGACTGTACAACCTCTCCGGGCAAACTGCTTCCATGTTTGACTGTCTTCATGGGACCTATGTCCACTCTGAAGCTCTCTTGTTTCAACTTATACCCACTGCCCCTTGTCCTCCCACCACACACCACTGTGATGAGCTTGACTCTGACTCCCTGATAACCTTCTTACTGGCCCTGGAAGGCTGCTGTTAGATCCCCTCAGAGCCTCCCGATTTCCAGCCTGAACAAGCTCCACTCCCTCAGTCTCTCCTCACAGGACTTGTGCTCCAGCCCCCAACAACCTTTGTAGCCTTCCCCAGAACTCAAGCCAATTTATAGCTGTCTTCCTTTGACTGGGGCTGGGAGACAAAATTAGAGGCGGTATTATAGATGTCTAATGAGTGCAAAGTAGAGAGGTATAAATCACTTCTTCCCTCAACCGACAGCCTATGGTTCCATTGATATAACTTAGCATATTACTGGCTTTCCTAGCTGTCAGGTGATATGGCCAGTTCATATGCAGCTCCAGGTCTTTTTCTGCCAAGCTGGCCCCCAGCCTGTGTCATTGCAGGGGGTTCTTCATTTGCAGGTGCAGAACTCGGTGTTTATCCTTGTTAAATTTTATCAGGTTCCTGCTGGTCAATTCCCTTGCTCCTAGGGAACAATTCCTCCCAATTATCATAGAATCATTTAGGTTGGAAAAGACCTTTAAGATCATCAAGTCCAACTGTTAACCTAACACTGCCATCCCACCACTAAACCATGTCCCTAAGCACCTCATCTACGCTTCTTTTAAATACCTCCAGGAATGGGGACTCAACCACCTCCCTTGGCAGCCCATTCCTAGGTTCCCCTGAACTGCAGCTCTGCCCTTGAAGACATCAACCTGTCCTCCCAGTTGGTGTCATCTGCAAACTTGATGTTGCCTCACTGATAAAGACTTTAAACAGGTATAGACCCCTGTGTTACAGCATCTGTTACCAGCTTCCAGCTAGAAAGCTATCCATTAACCACTACCATCTTTTGCCCATCTAGTTGTCCACCCACCCAGACTGTAATATTCTAACTTGAATATAGCAATACTGTGGGAAATGGTGTCAAAAGCCTTCCTAACATTGAGATAAAAGGTATCCACAGCTCTCCTCTCATCCACATTTCATAATATAGGGCAATCAATGCCAGGACTTCTCTTGCTCTGATTCCAATCAAATGGCTCCAGAAACTGGCAATTTAAGATGAACACTAAAGCCCACATAATTTAACATAAAATAATGAGAGGCAGTAATAATTCACATCTGTACAGTTGTATTAATAAATAATAATTAGCAGCAATGACAGTAAGACATGACTGTTAGTGTTACAGTACAAAAGAGTGAGAAACTTTCTATCTTTCTATTCGCAGAGCAGCTGGAATGCAAATGCAAAATACTTTAGGTCCCTTTATCTTACACATCAGAGAGAACTTGCGCTCTCTGAGATTTTAAAAGTCTTTTAGAAAGCAGATAATATAGGACAGTGTTTCGTAACAAAACATGCAGCAAGAGGATTCAGTCAGCATGGTTCCGTGTCTGGGTGAGCTGCTCATGGAACCTGCCAACACAGAACCCTCTGAAAGGTTTGCATCCAAGCTCCCACTTAATCATACTGCTATGACCAGCGATAACAGAACACAGGCTAATAGCCAGAGATAAAGAAGTCTGGTTAGTACAGGTGGTGAAACAGTACTTGTCACTCTCAAAAAATAACGGTGAAAAAAATGTTGAGAATTTTGTATGTTATTTTCCAAACAATGCTGCTGAGTTAAAATACATTGATGTCCTAGCATTCTCCAAGTACTTGTTTTTAACTGGAAAATTAAAAATACTTAATAGCAAGACAAAAGACCCCACTAATTATATGAGACTCTCACAGCATTCCATGAACACTTTTTCTGGGAATTCAAAAGTAACCCGATTCTGACTAACACATGTTTTATTTCAGCAGAAGAGGTTGTCACTTTATATACTTTGAGAAGCTACATTACCTGGGTAGCAGTTATATTTAACTTATTTGCTTACACAAAGGAAAATAAGCTAAAAATAGTACAAAGCAGTTTTATACAGATAAAGAAAGTCTTTCACTGTTACAGTCATTTTTGTGAAGAACAAAAACCTAACAAGTAGGAAAAAAACAGCACAAACTGCTGCTACCTACAGTCTTGAGCTAAACTATCTCAGGTTTTGAAGTACTAAACAGAACTGTGAAAAGAGAATTAATATCACCAAGCAAGAATGTTATATACATCTTGAGTAGTCCATAATATAAACTACCACGTCAGTGACATAGAATCATTATATATGTTATGCTGTAATCTTGTATTAGAAAGACTACAGGACAAAATGTAATTTCAGTGAAAATTGTCAGAGATCCCAGAGCAAGCACTTGAATTATTGCCAGTGCTTTTTTTTTTTTTTTTTTTTCTTCTTCTAAAAATCCCACATAGATTCAATGGCTATAAGCCAGTCAGGGCTCTGCTCTAACTATATATATCATCTGAATCAAGTCACTCAACCTAAACATCAAAGATTCATGCATGTGTTCCCAAGACTGATGTGATCACCTGTCAACGTTTGGAGTAGGGATTGCTTTTCTTTGGTCCTGTTTTTAGAAGGAACAGTATGTTAAAAAAGTCTTCTTCTCAACAGTGAGGGCAATAAAGTAAAACTTCTTTTAAAAAGTGAAGGTGACAATAAATATAATTCTAGGAAACATACGTTTAAACAAAACCGTATTATCCGAGTGTTGGCAATGCTACAAGTCCAGCATTACATGACTCCCAGCAGCAACCTGGGTTTACTCAGTACAGATCCTTGAGTAATAGACCGGTATTAATGGAACACAGACAGCATTTCTCTGATGTCAGGGCATTTCTTACAGATCACCTGATCAAGATATTTTTGTGTTCAAGTTCTGAAATCTAACAGAAATCACTTTGCATGTGCTGTAAGTGACTGCGGTGTGACGGGGCTTTGATGTATGCAACAGGAAAGCAGAACATCAGTAGACTAATAGAAATCCCGCTGCCCTTAGTTTTAGGCCAAATACAATCATCTTATATAAAAACTCTATCATAAAAATTACAGTCAGCCTCCAGAAACTAGGCCGAGAGTGTGTTGCATTTAAAACTAAATTGTATAGCGACTCTTGAGTTACACTCCATGGTACAATGTAGCAACTGAACTTATAATACAGCCTTGAAACTATACATAAAATAAAATTTCTGTATCTAAATGTATCTTACATAGAAATATTCTATTTGCAAATCTCTCCATCTCCCTGGAGTATTCCCCATCTCCTGAACAAAAGTGCCAATGAGCACCAAAGCCTGAAGTTAATTCAGAGAACTAACATAGGAAATGATTACGGGACTCACCTTCCCCAAATTTTCTGGAGCCTACAAGCATCAGAATGAAAGAAAAATCCTCAACCAAATTAGAGAACATAGCAAGCACCTTCCCATCTCCCATCTCAAGTATTGTTTTTTAATATTAGCCACCCTAAATGACTAGCATAACTGTTTTCAGCTATTCTCTGTACTGGAAACATGTACGCTTGCCCCCTTTGCCAAGGCTTCCTCTCATTTTGCTTTATATTTTCACAAGTAAATACAAATGACAGATCTTCTGTTTTTTCCCATTGCCCATAAAAAAAAAAAAAAAAAAAAAAAAAAAAAAAAAGGCAAATTCATCAGTTTGGGACAACTAAAGAAGAAAATCCGTAAGTCAAAGTAGAGCAAACTGGAGGCAGCAAAGTGAATCAGGGGAAAGGAAGAGAGGAAAAAACAAGAGGCATTTATAAAAAACAATGTGTGAAGAAATACAAATAAGTACCAAAATTTAATGCAGCATAAAATTTAAAAAAAAAACCAAACCCAAAACAAAAAAAACCAGCCTGCAGAAGCAATGGACAAGCTGGGAACAAATCAGAAAGGTTATTAAATTCAGAGATGCTCAGAGCAGATGATCTGAGCAAGGATTTCTAGCAATGTGACTTGGCAGGTGAGAAAGTTTCAGCTGGAAGTTACAGAATAAACTAGTGGGGCTTATGACTGTGGAGATGAATAGAATTAATTCTGCCTAGCTCTCCTCCTTTAAACTTTGCACACCAAAAGCTTTTGAATTTCTAAAGCTGTATCTTATTACATTCCAAACTAAGTTTTGAAAGAAGAAAAAAGCCTGAGGTATGCTGGGTTAGAAACAACAAAAATAAATTCATATAACATTGAAATCAAACATATGCCCCCCAGTCCCTCACGGGGTAGGTCCCTCCTTACAGTCTTGCTACTTGTCCAACAAGTTTCAGCAGCCTTTTGGTTTGAAGCAGACTGCATACAGTCCCCCTGGGTCCCTAGGAGAAGACTTACTCTTTCTATTACCTAAGTTCGGTTCGTATATCTGTTCCCTGTTCTTCTCTGAAATCTCCTAGACCCTGCTCCTCATACAAGTCTCTGTCACACCTTTTTTTATTTTCTTTAATCATCATCTCCTCCACAGGCCCTCAACAGAAAGGAACAATCTTTCCTATCCTACAGAGGTTACACCTGACATGGGAACTGACATGCCCTCCACCACAAGGCTGAAGGAGAAG